CACCACTTGCTCATATTCCGCTTTCTTTGTTCGGCGGAAAGCAGCAAGTTCGGCAACGACGTCAACGTTCTGGATTAGCTCGCCCTCTGGGCTTCCCTCGCGGCCCGAGGGGCTAGGAGTCCGCCCCGGAACAGAGGCTATACCCTGCCGCGAGACATCATGAGGCAAGGGCGATTCCTTGCCGGAGTAAGTGGAGTCGTCATCCGAATGCATGAGTGAGACCTTCTCATTCAGAACGGCCATGGGGAAGTATTTGCCCGGGTCATTTTCAGGAATACCGCACTCTTCCTCGCCGAAGAAACTGAAGTCTTCTGTTGCTGCTGCCCAGAGATTCTCCGAGTCACGATCGCCGGTGCTCGAGTTGGATATACCGTTATGTTGACTTGCGGGCTTCCAGGTGGTAAGTCGAGTGGAGGTGTCGGTAGGTGTAATCTCGAGGATGATTCGTCGTAGGCCAAACAAAGACCGAGACCGTTGCTGCTCAGCTTGTAGTCGGGCTTTGCCTGGTGGAAGCGAGTAGTCCGAGCCCGCCTGTAGTGTCGCAAGAAGCGCTTCATTGGAACAAGCCGTGATAAACCGTTTGAGGGTGTATAGTACTGGGGAGTTGGGTGGGATATGTGACGGAACATCTGTCAATACCAGGGTCTCCAGGTGTGGAATATGGGATGGATGAAGGTATGGGAATCGACTTTCTTTCCCACCTCGAATGGGGATTGACTGATTTCGCGGACGCTTGGAAAGTAGTTCCTGTATACTTTGGGCGCGAGGATCATCGCCTGATATCGGGGAGCTGCACTGCGCTATGGGACCTAAAGAGTCGGGACCTATCGAGTCACCATAAGCACTGATTGATATTGACGACATTGTGTTCTGTCGTCGGATTCCCCATCCATTTGAGCCCAAGGACACGCTGTGGCTCAGACTTGCAGAGTCGTTGTTATCCCCCTCATGTCGGTTTGGTGAGATGACCTCCGGGGCGAAAGCAGAACCCCGTCTGACTGATGGTATGGCCTCGTCCTCGTAAGAGGCTGAATGACGGGGCTGAGCTAGGGTGATGGTTTCTTTAGAGCTTGAAGCATCAGATATTGAGGTATCAGCCAGTTCAAAAACGGGCAGTTCGTCTCCAGCCATTTCATGAACTTCTTGGCTGGCGTCCAATTCGAATTCACGACTGACATCATCAGATGGAAGCTCTGGTAGAAATTCAGTTGCTGATGCAACATCTTTTGCTGGCGGCTCTGCGGTAAGAACAGCATGATTTGCTCGGAAGTATGTCAAATTTTCCCCAGCCAAGTTACCTAAGAGAGGCACGAGCTTTTCCGCTCCCGGGTACCTCCCGGATTTTTGTGATAGAGTCTTCGCGTGTATAAGATCAGCGGTATGCACTGTTCCAGCGTCGAGAGCATGGAGCCGGGAGCTAGCTAGAAGGCTTGCCATGCCTTCAACGGTGATTTGATTGTTTGCGATATAAAGGTGTGTGACGCCGGTATGCGGGAGGTCCTCAACCCAAGGATTGTTTGAGATCGGCTGAACTAGGAGCTTGATGATCTGCTCATCCAATAGGGGGGATTTCAAGAAGTCGGATTCACCCATTCGTATGGATTGAGAGAATGGGTCGGGAGAAGTACCAGTTCGCCTCGAAGGTTGCTGCTGTATTGGCTGACCGGGCGAATGGAAAGAAGCCTGCAGTAGAGAACGGACCGACATATCAGTGAGTAAGTTGTTCCTCAAGTCGAGAAATCGAACGCGAATCCCGATTGCGTTGGCAAGGAATTCGGCGTCGTTGTCTTTCATGCCGATACCGCGCAGCTTGAGTACTTGTAGATGTTCAAGCTGCGAGATTGAAGATAGCACACTACGATCTCTTGCTGATTTTGTATATGAAAGATCCAGATATGTCAATAGAGGAAACCGCACAATTGTTTCCGCTAGGCCCGAAGACGTAGTGTTTGGCTCATGGTCTGCAAGCAGAAGACGAACATTATATTGGACATGTTGGTGGCTCTTGAGTGCAACCATGGCATTGTGGTCGAAGAAAGGTAATTTCGATACCATCAAGCACTGTAAGCAAGGCAAGTACTCCAGAATATCGCGCAGCCATCCTGGTCGTGGGCCACCATAGATCTCTGACAAAGCAGGCGGAAGGTGAAGTGTATGTGTCAAAGCTCGCACTTCTGGTCTGGCATATTTGAGAGTTCTTCGGAACCGCGTAAGAGCCACTGTTCGCATGTGTCAGTCTTTGGGCTATTCCATTACATGTAGACGGCCGTAGGAATCTACCGTAAACAGCATCATTGTCCGTGCCGAAATGAGACGCAGGATCGCCCCACAGAAAAGGCACAAAGAGATTGTGCCATCGATGGCTAACTAGTGAAGCAGCACATAGATCGCTGGATGGTATGTAGTGGGCAATTATCACCCATGCATCTCGGTCTGTCGCTGACTCGTATGACGGGGGAATCAGATTCATTGTCGGGTGGGTGGGGCCAAATATTGTGAGAGGATGACCTGCATCATTTATGTATCTCGATTCTCGTAACCAGTCAGTTCCTTGCTACCAGTGTTGACGTTGAAGAGGGTCTGGTCAGTTGCCCGACTTCGACTCAGCCACGTTGTGAGCGCCCCGCACTTCCCCGTCGGGCTGACTTTGGCCCCATCCGTCATCCATGATGTACCACAGCAACCCCGTATCTATCGCCACTAAAGAGTTTATTCGCAAATATTACTCTCCAGACTTCCATCCTCGTTCGGCTGTTTTGGTTGAAGGCGTCGCTGAGAGCGTACCTATGGTGGTCACCAGCCAAGCCGGCTTCTGGCTTATGTCTGTTTGCTTTTATGAGTGACGTTGGGATGAAAGCAGACGCAAAGAAAGTTTGTACGGATAAAATTAATTAACAAGGCTTTATCATGATATCGCTTTGAATTCACCGCATCTGTGGCCGTAGTTATTTCTGAATCTATTGAATACATTATTCTTAATATAGTGACCATGGCACCCGTCAAGCGACAAGCCGATGATGATATTGAGCTTTCGTCCATAGTCAAGACTCGGAGGGGGGCCAAAATAGAAGCTAGCACGAGTAGCAAATCCAGCTTATAGATAAAGTAATTCTCGTGCAGGGATCTCACGATTGACGCTCCACATGCCACTGGACTATTAGCATACTGACGTAGAGAAAGGAAAATGACTTACCATCTTGAACGGAGCGTTCCAGCCAAGTAGTAAAGGTATGGCTTCTTTATAGGCTTCAGTCTTGATCGAGGCTTCAAAACCGTCCATGCTATTCCATCCTCTCATGACAAAAAAACACTTCGCGGATCCTCCATCGACATCCTCAAGAGGCTGCTCCCCTTCCAGCCAACCATATACCAAGCCCTGGTCTCCCGTCGTAGCCGGACTGTATATCTCATCAAACCTTATAAAATCGTCTTCAATTTTCTTTTGAAATTCTGCATTGAAGCTGGAGGTTGGAAAATAAGATAGGACGAACTCTACTGCGTTCGCCGTAGCAAATCCAGCTGGTCCGAACACAGAATTATCAAGGTTGACACGGAAACTTCGGAAGGGTGCATCATAAAACCCAGAAATGACTTCCGAAAGTGAACCAGGTCCCAGACTACGCTCACTGGTGGTAGATTTTGCGCTGCCGCGGTGTTCGAATGTGATTTGAATAGCGTTCTTGTCTTGATGGTGGGTGCCAAGAACGAAATCGACAGGAGGATTCACCTGTTCAATGGCTCGGACCAGCTTCTGGATATTCTCATCCGGATTTGAAATCGATGCATCATCACGGAGAAGCGAATTCGAATCAAGCTGTATGATCTCAAGGAGCGGCATCTTTTGAAAAGTTGTTCATCAAAGTAAAAATTGACTGGCGGTATTTGTATTTGGCAGTACATTTTTGAGTGATCTAGAGATATCTTAAATAATAGAAAGGAGCCATGGAAGCTTTACAAAGAAACAAGAGCTATTTCTCATCTCGAAGAACGAATTCATAGTTCGGCCCCTCGTAAACTCCGAGACCACCCTGCCGGCAAGATCCGTTACCAATCCGGGTTTTGTCAAAAGCGTCAAAACCCGAATACTTCCAAGTCCCAAACACCGAATCTATCTTGATATAATCGGAAATTTGTGAAAATTGAAATGGTTTATTTTGACCCAAAGCTCAATTAATCTTCAAACCGATACGACGAGTGGTATTAGTGACTATTTCACTTTTATGCCTGGCGAGCTTTTCCTATGGCTTTGACTTCCTCCAGAAGTTTGGAATATAAAGAGAGATCTATCACTTGACATAGCTCGCCAGGAGTGAAGTCATCACTAGGCATTCTGTCCCCCCCAAAAAAGACCTTGGCGCCTGCCTTTCAAGCTGATATCCGCCCCTTTGCGTAAAAGGAAGCGGATTTTTTGCATTGAATTTGGGCCTGGCCTTATGAATGCACAGGCGACACTATAATGCAATGGGGTCCAGCCCCATTTATCTTGCTTGTTAATGTCGGCTGAGCATCCAATATTCCAAAGATATTCCAGGGCTTTCACGTCGTCGACAACTTCGGCAGAGACGTGAAGTGGTGATTTACCGTCATTCATTATTCTGCTCATATCGACACCGTTTTTTGTAAGGAACTCCAGAGCGTGTAAAGCATGGCCTCTGGTCCTCAAAGCGGTAAAGAGCTGCAGACCATCCGAACCGGTCAGCCGTTTCCCAATACGTGTAGCCTTCTGATAACAGGATCCTGAAGAAATCTAGAATTTGCTCGTCTCCCGATGCGTGGTTGATGTTGAGCATACTAAGGGTTTTTTCGCGAACAACTTCATGAATGGAAGCTCCGTGTTTCACAAGAAGCCGTAAGACCTGAATCCATACATCCCATCGCGGAGGCAGCTGCGGAAAAACCCTTGTCTTATCCGATGACATGCCCATTAGAGCAAAAACGGGAAGACTCAAATGAGAGTAATTAATTCAGAGATTTGGTTCAAATAGATAGTACTGCGAGTCCTACATTTGATTGTCGTCTCCTATATTTGGGTCTGCACCAGACTCTAGGAGGTAGGTAACAGCGTTCAAGTGCTTTCCTTCGAGAGCAATCTAAGATATTGGATTTGAATACAAGTGATAAGTAACTTTAATCTTACCAACAGAGGAGTTTTGCCGCAGCAGCTGGCTCTATCTCCGACTTGTCCACTCCCATCATTTAGACATTGCCTGATCAATCTAACATCACCCTGGGCGCAGGCCATCATAAGAGGCGAATTTAGCGAAACTTGGTTTTGAAGCCGTATTTGCCCAGGAAGAATACTAAGTCCCTTTCCAGGAATGCCAGTATTTGCGAATATTAGATCGAAAGTGATAGACTTGGTGTATATCCAGTTTGGAGGCTTAAATCCCATGCAAATCCGAGACTCCCATTGACCATTGCCTGGCTCTATGATCTGTGAGATGGAGCCAAAGAATCCAAATTTCCGGAGCCAGGAGTCGACATCCAAAACAGTGTTCTGGAGTTGACCTCTCGATAGACGTGGTCTGGAGATTGTATCTCGCCGAAACGAATTCTCGATGCCAGTGCGATTGGATGATTTTTGAGACGAGTATATGATAAGGGATAATCGTCTTCACAAATTGTAACATTAGAAACCCAGAGATAGATTTCATAGGGCAATTACTTACACATTCAGAAGCTGTAAGGCACAAGTGAGTGTGCCCTCTGAATCCCGTAGCCGGTCGACTGTGTCACTCACTAGGTGTCGCTCGAGAAGAGCCCATTTGAGTCGTACTCGCAAGGGATTGGATGGAGACTCGAAGTCTAAAGCTATATCAAACTTGCTATATAACGTTATGACTTCCTTGCGAACAGAATCGATGGAGTTATGTAAGACATAGCACAGATCTGGAGGAAGAATCTCGAATTCATAAACCTCAGTAAGTTGGGCTTCAATATTCTTCAAAGCCAAGTTGAGACATGTGAGCTTTTCATGGATTCGTTTAAGTTCTTTAGGTGCATCTCGCACGGAGTGACAGAACGTGAACACGACTTCAGTCGTTTTGACAACAAGACTTAATAACTGAGCGAATGATGCAATCCCGCCAACTATCGTGAGAGGATCAGCCATGATCTAGTATGATAGCTCCACGTAAGAAGATCCAGCGGGATAGATAGGTAGGCAGAAGCTTTAGCAAATAATTTTTGGAAAGTTTGTGGAAAGGAAGTTAGTGAATTAAGGTAAGTTGTAAGAGGCTCTTTTGAGAGCGAGGCCTGGGCATAAATTGGACATCCATAGCAACTGCGAATGAGCTTTCCAGGAAATTAAATTACAAAATTTACAACCGCGACAGGGGTCCGTAGTTCGCTGTTGGTGAACATAGTAGGTATTTCTGAACTGATAAATGATGAAAATGAAATTAAATCACAGGATGCATCTACTACATACGAAAGTGGCCTTAATATTTTTATTGAGTTTAGAAGGTCTAGATTTGATTAAAGACAGAAATGGTTGTAATTGCTATCGGTCTCTGGCAATCTCTGGAAAATTTGGACCATCATAGGATCGATGATCGGGCATCCATGCATACTAGTACCAACGTACTTACCCCGCTCAGTTGGAAAAACCTGTCTCCTACCAAGGGAGTTTCTGCTCAAACCCAAGCTCTGCAGCTGCGCCCAAAGGTAAAGAGTCTACCACTGGGAAATGAACTTTAAAAAAGATAACTGTTCAGAAGAAGAACCAAGAAAAGTTACTGATTCTTCTTGAAGGATCATGCAGTTTCAATTTATATTCAACTTTCGTCGCACGGGGTTACTGTTATCAATACAACGCGATTCTATGTCCTCTAATGGGGTCTGGGTTTGTGTAAGTGTATAAAATTAATACTAGCATGTGGTGCTTTTTGAAGTTGACGGGAATACTCTATTAGTGTGGCTGTGGTGAGCTCAATAACAGTCTCTCCCAGGAAACATGTAAATTGTGTGGACATTTCAAGTGTTCCTACTGTTTAAGTTGTTGATGCCTAGCGAGGTAATGTCTACTAGCATGGAACGGTAAATGGCTCTTATTTTAAGACATCGACTCAGCCTTATACTAGGAGCTATAAACTGATTATGATGACTGGATAAGACCCCATTCTGACAATTATAAACCGGATTATTCCGGTCAGCGGATAGTGGCAGTGTAAATGGACTAGAACACTGGAAATTTCCTTACTCGAGGCATCACACCTGGGCACTGCCAAAATCTTTACGGAGAGTTTACTAGTGAAGGGTCTGGTTTCCATGAAGAGCCGAAATACCTAAATTTTCCCCAACGGGATTCCATATAGTTATGAACATTTGACCTTTCAAAGAATACCAACAGCCCCATTCCCGCCAATAAGGGGGAATCCCAACTGACTATGCATGGCTTGCTGGAAAACACGATCATCTTCATAAGAAATACCCTTGGCGCTCAGTTCCATCTTGCGAAGTTTCGCCTGGAGCACAGCAGAAGTTTCAGCCCATGCGCAGATGTTGCCCGCAAGACCTTCATATAAAGAGTAAGGGTCGTCGGGCATACGGTACTCTTTGTCCGCACTTGCGGATGCAGTGTTGTACGGGCGAGTTTCACGAGAATGGAGCATGAAAGCGAGGGCTTTGGAAAGGAAGAAGTCTGGCGTGAGTTCTTTGCTGAAATCCGAGGCTAGTGGAGATGAGATTCCAGTTCGTTGGGTATATGTGGATCTGGCTTCGTTGATATCGCTTGAATGATATTCAAAGACGCCATGCAACATAAGCCACGGCCATGCATTTCCAGAAATGCCGTGGCATAAACTACCTCCCTTGGATAGAATTCCCTCTTCCCAAATACGCTGGGTGCCCAGATAGATGGTCTGGTCCCAGTCTGGGCACCAATGGTCCCAGTCTGGGCACCAATGGTCCCGAGTTAGCGGGCCGTTTTTCAAGGCCGCAGAGAGTAAAATGAGAGTCCCGGGGCTGCCGTGGCAGAGCTGAACAAATTCAGAGGTTTGGCCAAAGCTCATTGGAGGAAGTGCCATTGGAAGGTGTCCGTTCGTGGCATTGCTGAGCTTACAAAGTGCTGTGATGGTGGACCCAATTATGGGAAGGTGCTTTTCGAGCTCTTCGGGCTTGGATGAAAGAACTATAGTCAATATTCCAGCTGTGATGATGATAAATGGTTAGTCGGTTCTAGTAGAGGCGTATTTGTTCAAGTGAAATACTAACTAATTCCGTGAGCCCTAAATTCAAGGTGTTAGCGCTGAAACTCGTTGGATTAATCGATCAAAGCTTGACTCACGCTCCGAAGCAATAGCGACCTTCCATCCAAGGGTACATCAATGGATGCGCATCCGTCTCTCCATGCTCTTGGATATATTCCTTCGCGCCTTGCCGACCAGCATGGATGATTACATCAACCAAACGGGGAATAGTATCGAAAACCGGAGAAAGAGCCTTCTGAGTACTTTCATCAAATTCATGACGTCGAATGTTTAGTAGGACCCAGAGTAGGCCTGCTCTGCCATACAGCATCTCGTCTCCTCCCATCTTTCGATCGTCATGGGGAACAAGGTGCTCATTTTGCAGCGCTAGATTTGCGGCATCGTATAGAAAGTTGATATCCTCCTGAGCCAAGCTGGGATTGGAATCAGACTGCCAGTTGGCCTGTGCCACCTTGGACAGAATATGCAAAGTAGCAGCAGCTATGGGAGAGAAAGATCCAGCTGGGGATAGGCGAGACGGCCGGAGAGGACAATCGGGGAAACCTGACGGGATCCGTTGCAAGGCGAAGCCGCGATAATCTGGCGAAGGCTTACCAGCATCTGCTAGTACGGAAGATTGGTAGTCAAGGCGCAGGAATGCAAGGGCGACACCTGCTCGTAGGTACAAGGTTAGCCGTTTATTTGGTAGGATTGTGCCGAATTAGAGTGGACTATTGACTGTACCTGGAAAATGTTTAAACATGCCTCCTACGGACCATTTCTCCGGCAGCATCTCGTTGGCGTGAACCAACTCGGAACCGATATAAACAGCATCGCGTAACTCCCGGAAAGACTTAGCTAGTGTTTCCGCATTGATAGGGAGAGGAACCAGAGTGTTTTCATAGTACTGCGGTGGGCCTGCGTCTCCCATGATGGATACTATAGGGACCGTAACCTCAATGCACTGATGACGATGGATGTGTTTGCGTGGCGTGCTCGAAATCGCGTTCGCTGGGGAAGGGGGATCGGTACTAGCTCCGATCCTGGAGTCACAGACCAGGCCGAACCCCTCCTTCATGTTTGCTTGGAAGCCTCGGGCCAAGAGATGCGTCATATTCTGCAGGCTCGCTTGAGAGTGGAATCAATGAGCAAATGTCGGTGTCGAATTCAGCTCCACTAAGACCAGTGGGATGCTAGTAGATCGAATTCCCAGCCTGCAGAGTGTAAAAAGTAAATGGTGGGGCAGCGATGGGCAGCGATGGACGATCATTACCTGTCTTGGATTAGGCACAGGATGTATTGGCGCCTGAGGAAGAAGGCGCCAAGGCATTAAGGCAAAAACTATAGTCAGGTGACTCATGAGTCAGCAAGGACGACGGCTTCGACAACTTGCGTTGCAGCCATTCCGGACTCCAGAATACCCACGCGGTCCTCGAAGTGCCAAAACGGCTTCTAGAAGCTGTACAGAATGTCAGTGCCTTCCCCCTGTTGCTGAGCTGGTGGTGCAATATCGTTGCAATTCTGTTCATTCACCTGATGTGGCGATTCTACGACCCTCATTGTCCTCTCCCTGCGATTTCGGCGTAGAATAATGAATCAACACCCCCAGATCGACTAATATGGAAAACAGTCCCGTGACCAACGCCTCCAATCCATCTCAACATGTCTGAAGTTCAAGCAGATGCAGAAGTCGTGCCAACAGGCCCTGAGCCGGAGTATCCTGCGTTGGCTCCGAGACAAGTCACCCTTCGTGACCGGGTGACGGTGGCGACCCTGGTGCCCTTCGCCTCCGCAGACGATGTACCCCGGCCGTTACTGAAGTATCTCTCTGATCAATTCAACAAGGAAATTGAAAAGGGAGATACTTATGCCATGTCCGAGCCGATTCCATTGGCCCAATTTGGCCGGTATTGGTTTTCTAGTTTTGGTGTGGTGATGCTGCTCGGTGATATTGAGAGCGCCGAGCAGACGCACTCTATGGACCGGGCCGGTGCCAATTGGACTAAGATTTGCCTCGGTGGCTTTCACATTCGTCCCAATTACCCCGGTAGGAGTAGCCATGTATGCAACGGTACCTTCATCGTGACGGATGCTGCTCGAAACAAGGGTGTTGGTCGACTAATGGGCGAGTCATACCTGGAATGGTCTCCTCGATTGGTAGGTGTCTGGGCGAATATCTTGTTATCTACATTCCACATTGGGCATTTGGCTTATATTTCTGACAGGGATACACATATGCTGTTTTCAATTTGGTTTACGAGTCTAACGTTGCATCTTGTCGCCTGTGGGACTCGCTGGGCTTCAAGCGGATCGGCAGAGTCCCCGGTGGAGGTCAACTAAAGTCACAACCCGGCGAGTATGTCGACGCAATTATCTATGGCCGCACGCTTAGTCTTGATGGCGAGGACTCCGTTTCACAGGATCGGTTTGAGAAGATTCGCTACTATCTCAAGCATTCAAAGTATCCTCGTGGTGCTGATCGAGCCGAAAAAAGCCGACTCCGTAGTGCGGCCACTCATTACAAGCTCACGGGTGGCGAGGATGGCGAACCTGAAAGACTCATGCTCAAAGATAAGGAAGTGGTATCAGACCCACAGCAGCAGTATGAGATTGCGCAGGAGGTCCATTTGAAGCAGCATGCTGGAATCAACAAGACCACCGCAGCCATTGCCATCAAATTTCACTGGGTTAGGATTAAGGAGACCGTCAACAGAGTGATTCGAGACTGTCCGCAATGCAAAGAGACACTCAAACTGCCACCAATCCCTGGCACTAAAGAGGAGGATTCGTCTCCTTCAGTCGAGGCATCAGATGTGCCCGATCACAGTATGGAGGTTGATCACTCAAAGCAGGCGATTGAAATTACACAGGAGATGGATGAAGCTCCAGACGAGTCCCCCTAGCCACAATCCTTTCATGAATCCTCAACCCCCTGCGACTGTTCCTGGGCGGTACATCCCATGGCGAACTTCAACCAAATGCCCCTTGATCCTCAAATCATGCTTCAGCAGCAAGCTCAACGCCAGCAGCAGCAGCAGCAGCAGCAGCAACAACAACAACAACAACAACAACAACAACAACAACAACAACAACAACAACAGCAGCAGCAACAACATCAGCAACATCAGCAACATCCTCACCATCACCACCAACAGCAGCAGCAGCAACAGCAGCATGCGATGGCCGGTGGATTTGCCCCGGTCCCACATATGAACATTTCCAATTTCGATGATTTAATGCGTTACCATACGGCCAATAATGCCTATCAAATGATGGTTGACGACGGCTCCGACCCTTTTCGACAGGAGGTGCTTGGGTTGATGAATCCACCTTCCCATGACTTGCAACATGATGCGGAGCTGCTCGCTAAGTTCGAGTATGGCAGTCCGTCGGAAGGAAATTACGACTTTACTTAAGCTGGAATTCCTGCTTTTTTTACTTGTTTCATTTTGAAATGATTTTGTATCGCCCTGGCGTTGTGTTTTGAGGCCCTTGGATACCACCTTTTTGTATTCTGTGACGACTGTATTTGTGGAAGTGTCGGGCCAACCCAAAATCATTGTGTACAGCTTGGTTATGATTTTTATCAGCATGGTACATTACAATTACAAATGAAAAAAATTCAATTTTGCACTGAGTATGAGTAAATCAAGGTAAAAGGACTGTGCTTATCACTGGTCAGTACTATAGTACAGTTGGTGTGCTGTCACCGCCTTGGGGCTTCGGGGGGCATTTTGAGGGGAACAGAAGCTCTGGGAAATTTTGGCGGTCGAAGATCAGCGAACCCCTCCGAGCCCCCGTAACGACTTAGGACCACCTTCCTTTCTCCTCTAATCCCTATATTCGAATCCAAACGGTCTACGGTCTCGCTTTCGCTCTCGATTTTACAATGGCCTTCGCCGGCCAAACGCCCACCATCGTCGTGCTGAAGGAGGGTCTGTGTTCTTCCCATTTCCCCCGCGGCAGTTTAGTGGGATTCCAACGAGCCATGCTAACCATTGTCGCTTTGGATGTACAGGCACCGACGCTTCCCAAGGAAAGGGTCAAATCATCTCCAACATCAACGCCTGCGTTGCTGTGCAGTCCACAGTCAAGAGCACTCTCGGCCCCTATGGTGGTGACCTCCTGCTTGTTGACAGCAATGGCAAGCAGACCATCACAAACGATGGAGCCACTGTGATGAAGGTTTGTATCCCTTTCGTGCAACCTTACAACGGAACTTGGATAGCAAAAATTGACGATGCTGACTTATTGTCTTCCCCCCTGATAGCTTCTGGATATTGTCCACCCCGCCGCCCGTATCCTCACGGACATTGCCCGATCCCAAGATGCCGAAGTCGGTGACGGTACAACTTCCGTCGTTGTCCTGGCTGGTGAGATTCTCAAGGAGGTCCGCGACCTGGTCGAGCAAGGTGTCAGCTCGCAGACCATCATCAAGGGTCTGCGGAGAGCCAGTGCCATGGCGGTCAACAAGATCAAGGAGATTGCGGTGGAGATGATCGAGTCGGCAGGAAGCGAGGAAAAGAAGATTGAGACTCTCCGGCGACTAGCTGGAACCGCCATGAACAGCAAGCTTATCAAGCGGAATCAGGAGTTCTTCACAAAGAGTGAGCATATGGTGCCCCGCTGGATCCCCTGAATTTGTGGGGAATTGGATGTGTGGCATTCGGATGGCTAATTGAATGATTTTCTACATTTAGTGGTTGTCGATGCGGTTCTCACTCTAGACCAGGACGATCTCAACGAGAAATTGATCGGTGTGAAGAAGGTGACTGGCGGTGGTCTCCAGGAATCTCTTTTCGTCAACGGTGTCGCCTTTAAGAAGACCTTCTCCTACGCCGGTTTCGAGCAGCAGCCCAAGTACTTCACGAACCCCAAGATCGTTTGCCTGAACGTCGAGCTGGAATTGAAGAGCGAGAAGGACAATGCGGAGGTCCGCGTGGAGCAAGTCTCCGAGTACCAGGCTATTGTCGATGCGGAATGGCGGATCATCTATAACAAGCTGGAGGCTGTCTACAACACCGGGGCCAAGGTTGTTCTCAGCAAGTTGCCCATTGGTGACCTTGCCACACAGTAAGCACCCACTGGAATCAAGGGACTTTCTCTTCGATGTACTAATCACTATGTTTATCTAGATACTTCGCGGACCGTGACATTTTCTGTGCTGGCCGTGTCTCATCCGACGACATGGATCGTGTTTGCCAGGCCACCGCTGCCGCCACTCAGTCGACATGCACCGACATCCAGGAGCGTCACCTCGGTACCTGCGGCGCCTTCGAGGAGCGCCAGATTGGTGGAGAGCGTTTCAACGTCTTCTCCGAGTGCCCTGCCGCTAAGACTTGCACTCTCATCCTGCGTGGTGGTGCTGAGCAATTCATTGCTGAGGTCGAGCGCAGTCTGCACGACGCTATCATGATTGTCAAGCGCGCTCTGCGCAACACCACCATTGTTGCTGGTGGAGGTGCCACCGAGATGGAGCTGTCAAGCCACCTGCATGGCTACGCCGACCGCAATGTCCCCCACAAGCAGCAGGCCGTGGTCAAGGCGTTTGCCAAGGCTCTGGAAGTTATTCCCCGCCAGCTTTGCGACAACGCTGGTTTCGACGCGACTGATATTCTGAACCGCTTGCGCGTGGAGCACCGTAAGAACAATGTTTGGGCCGGTGTTGACTTCGACAACGAGGGTGTCCGTGATAACATGGTCGCTTTCGTGTGGGAGCCCAGTCTGGTCAAGGTCAACGCGATCCAAGCGGCCGTGGAAGCAGCATGCTTGATTCTCAGTGTCGACGAGACAATCAGTAAGTGATCTATCCATCCCCCCTCTTCATGTTTTCACTTTTTGCTTGCTTTTTTTCTTTTTGCTTCGTTTTCTACCCCTCGCCTCCCCCCTCTTTGCGCATTGTACCTGGCTAATGCAATCTTCACCCAACAGAGAACGAGGAATCTGCCCAGCCTGGAAGTGGTCCCCAGCGCGGTATGCCGCCCGGTGCTGCACAGCGTGCGCTCCGGGGCCGTGGCCGCGGAATGCCTCGTCGATAAACGAGTTAATGCTACGAGAAAGATGAAAGTCTACGAGACTGCAGCAAAAAGGAACCACGGGCTTCTAATGAAACGGGCCTTGCTGGGAGGAAGAGGAAGTGAACTAAGAGCCATCTCTCTACGCGCGCTGACTTTCTGAGTGTGTGTGTTGTGGATGGTTACGAAGAGGGAGAGGGGCCTGTGCGATATGAAAGCATGGGGAGAATAGAAAAAAAGGTGTAGACATACTTTGAACTTTTGACATAACTAGTCTCTCCCAAGGTACATAGGACTCGCATTGGCTTCTTGCTTCTTCTCCGATTCCTGAATAGATCGTCGATAGATCGCCCGCAGGCGATGAATCTAATGGAACCAGATGTGCATTGTTAAGATTCCCGCAGTCAGTATTTATGTACTCCGTACTACGGAGTAGTAGTACAGTACATATTTTTGCTTTTGCGTCTGATCGATTTGTTATTTTATTTTTTCAGCTATTCATTTCGTACAGGTAACCAACTCCACTATCCACGCCAATAGGACCAGTGACCGGGGATGATGGCCCATATGCTCCTCTAAACCCTGTGTAACACGACTTCCGGGGCCGAGAAATATGCAAATCATGACACTCGGCCTATTCCTCTCTCGGGTCAGCCCAATCCACCCAGTTCGTTGGCGTGTGGGCTTTTGGGCTGCAGGGGTGGCCTCTCGGAGCGGCCGATGGCTGGGCATTGTTTGAATATAAAGTCTGACACGAACTGATGGTGTGTCCTGTCTTCTATTTCCTGATTCCCGATTCCTGTTTCCGTATTTTGGTTCTTCTTCTATTGATAATCTGATCGCCGCGCCCTACAGGGATCGACTCTCGTAGTTATTATCCAAAAGTAGGTAAGCTTCCTATCTCTTTGGTCAATCACAGTTCGCGTTTTAACCCGAACTTCCCTCGTTCCTGCAGTCTGGATTTTTCTTTCTTTTTCTCTCGATCTTGCTAGATATTTCTATTACTCTCTTCCCCTCTACATCTACTCTGTTGTTGCCACTCCCACTCCCACTCCCACTCCCACTCCCACTCCCACTCCCACTCCCACTACTGCCATATCTTACGAGGCTTGGCGGCATCTCCGTCTTTCCCGCTCTGTTTTGCTTTGGATCGACCTTCTCCACAATCCCGACTTGGACCTCTCTCTTCTTTCGCCCTGTGAACTGTGAACCTTCTTCCCACATCTCACTTCTCACAACTTTCCTCACATGTCTTATTACCCCCCCCATACCAGGGTGGCCAGGGAGGCTATCCCCCGCCCAGCAATCTTACCCCCCCGCAGCAACAGTATCCGTACGCGATCGCTTTCTCTCCTCGGTTGACCCCGGCTTTTCCATGACACTGACCTTTCTTTGTCGCAGTCCGATGCATCATCAGCAACAGCCCTCCTATGGCGGCGGCGGCGGTGGTGGTGGTGGCTACCCCGGCCAGTCCTATCACCAGCAGGCGCCCGCCCCCTCCAACCCCTACGGATATAGCCATTCGTCTCAGCCGCCGCAACAATACGGTTCGCCCGCCCCGCAGCATGGATACAATGTACGTTCGCACCTCGACGGAGACGCGTTTCGCATCGCATCGCACTATGATGGAACACAAATCGTTGACATGGATCTCGTATTCTAGCAGGGTCCCCCTCCGTCCGGATATCAACAACCACCTAGTGGCCAGCCGATGTACCAGCAGGGTCGCCCTCCAGGTTCGCATATTGCCCCATTACGCCACGCCATTCTCCTATCCGACATGCGCTGACATACGATTTCATAGCAAACAACTATCCCCAAGGTGGTGGTGGTGGTGGCCGTCCAGCTGCTCCTCCCTCCAATCCGGTGGCGTTCGGACACGGTGCCCCGCAGGGCTATAGCTTCCAATACTCACGCTGTACCGGCAAGAGAAAGGCATTGTTGATCGGAATTAACTACTTCAGCCAGAAGGGCCAATTGCGAGGATGTATCAACGATGTTAAGAACATGTCCACATACCTCAACCAGAACTTCGGATATGCCCGTGAAGATATGGTTCTCCTCACGGATGACCAGCAGAACCCTATGAGCCAACCGACCAAGGCGAACATTCTCCGCGCTATGCACTGGCTGGTGAAGGATGCGCAGCCTAATGACTCACTCTTCTTCCACTACTCCGGTGAGTTGACTACGTTTACAAGAGACAGGCTTGGGGAGACTTTGATCGAGAACTAACATTTCCTCCCAGGTCACGGTGGTCAGACACCAGATCTCGACGGCGACGAAGATGATGGATATGATGAAGTGATTTATCCCGTGGACTTCCGAGTTGCCGGCCATATCGTCGACGATGAGATGCACCGCATTATGGTCCAGTCATTGCGCCCTGGTGTGCGCCTTACAGCCATCTTCGATTCCTGCCACTCCGGCTCTGCCATGGATCTGCCCTACGTCTACTCTACCTCTGGTGTCCTCAAGGAGCCCAATCTGGCCAAGGAAGCCGGCCAGGGTCTGCTGGGTGTCGTGTCGGCGTACGCTCGTGGTGATATGGGTGGTATGATGTCGACTGCCATGGGCTTCATTAAGAAGGCCACCAAGGGTGACGACGTGTACGAGCGCAACCTCAAGACCAAGACTAGCCCCGCAGATGTGATCATGTGGTCCGGAAGTAAGGACGACCAGACCAGTCAGGATGCCCAGATTGCCGGCCAAGCCACCGGTGCCATGTCGTGGGCTTTCATCGCCGCTCTCCGCAAGAACCCCCAGCAGAGTTATGTCCAGCTGCTGAACAGCATTCGCGACGAGCTTTCTTCCAAGTATACCCAAAAGCCGCAACTGAGCTGCAGCCATCCTCTGGGTAAGCACCAACTAACCCCCGCCCCACTTCTATTCTACGCCCCTTTGTTGGGATACCTTGACTGGATTTGCGCTGACTCTTGTACTGCAGATACAAACCTCCTTTATGTGATGTGAAATCGTGAAACGCGGCCGTCCCGAGGGAAAATTTAGCTCTCAAGTCATCGATGATATCTGATTTTCTGCGTGTAACGAATTGAACTGTGTATGTAATTCATTGCTTGGTGTCCGTGTAATGCTGCTTGGTATGGAGGACTCGGTTGCACGGTCTGTGGTTTATCGTTTATTTCCAACCTGAACATTTTATATTCAATCGGCTGCTGACGACAGCCATGAGTCTTCCTGACATCATCGTACTAGTAGATAAAACATGTCCCGCACGACCACGCCTGTGTACTACTACTTCCTACCTTGAGAATACCCCGAATGCTAACACTTGCACACCTAGAATGATTTTATACTCATCGGATCAAAATGGAGACGATAGTACGCCTATTTATTTGTCGTTTGATGCTGTGTGATGTTTGACATGCTTGGCATCTCAATATCACCATTGGCGGAAAAGGAAACCGAGTGCCGGCGATGAAAGCCCGAGGCCTCCACCTTCGCACAATATCATAATAAGTCATGTAGCGCCACTATGGAGTCTTTAGTGGATCAGGCTGGCTAGTTCGTATGGCTAGAGGAGGCCCAAAGTCACCTGGGGCAACTGAGTTATCCTGACATACCTCGGCCGTCCAGACAATTCACAATGCAGTCGTTCCTAGAACAACGCCGAATCTACAAACAGCTCGAGAAACAGATCGTGATCAAGCACGACCAACCTGAAGATGTTCGTACACACGAACGTCGCTACTGGTACCAAGGTGAAGAAGGACTCGGCTCCGAAGACCGAGAACCTGACGACGGCGAGGCAGCGGAAAAATGAAGACAACACGGCAATCGCACCATCATCACTGGGCCAGCCCTTGAGCCCCGACATACGACCCGAGAACACCTGGAGCGCGAAGGAGATGTCGAGCGCGCGGATTATGATCCGAGTGTTCAGACGGATCCCTATACGATCAATACGCGCGATACTCTGGGTGGGAATACGGATATGATGGTTACGGGTATTGAGAGGGAGAGGCCGAGTCGAACATCTTCGACTGATGGGGAGTCGGAGATGGAAAAGAAGAAAATCATTCTCGTCACGTAGGAAGGTGATACTGATCCCATGGGTCCGCATAACTGGTCATTTGTTTGTCGGGCATTATGCACCACTTTACTCGGGTTTCTTGGCTCTCTCGTTCTCTTGTCGTCGACTATTGATGCCAGTGCCCTCACGTCTACGAGGAAACTCTTCAATACCAGTTTCGAGCTTGAGACTGTGCCTACCTGTAAGTCATATCTTTTGCTGAGATCACGATACAAAAGAAACCATTGTGATCGTCTCCTCTAGCTGTTTTCCTTATTGGTCTAGGCATGGGGAGTATGTTGACGGCCCCTCTTTCTGAGCTAGCAGGACGCAGCCCATTATACGTTATTTGCTTACCATGTTTCATGCTTTTCGATATGGAGGCTGGCCTATCCCAAAACGTCGGCCAGCGCATCGTTTGTCGGGGTCTCGCTGGACTATTCGGATCTGCACCACTTGTCTGTGCGGCAGCCGCTCTGGTCGATCTGTGGTCTATCATTGAGAGGGTCTACGCTTTTCCATATTTCGTTATTATAACCTTCCTCGGCCCTACTTTTGGTCCGCTGCCGGGTGGTTATATCAATCAAACTCTCTTCCTCTCTTGGCAGTGGGTTGACTGGGTCACGGTGATTGTTTGTGGCTTTCTACTTCTCCTGGTTGTCCTGTTCCTACAGGAAACCTACAGCCCCATCCGTCTCAATTGGAAAGCAAAACAGCTACGACGCCTCACAGGGGATGACCGTTACCGAGCCCCGATGGAATTCAACCGGGTTTACTTCCCACGACGAATCGCTTTGGCTCTTGGTCGTCCATTCGTGTTCTACGTCGGGGAACTGATCATTACTATCTTCAGTTGCTACCTGGGTGTCATTTTCGTCATTCTCTACACCTTTTCTGCGGGCTATGTCTCAATCTTCGAAAAAGTATACCACATTGATCAGGGAAGGACCGGCCTCTGCTTTTTAGGAATCCTCGTCGGCGTGCTTGCATCCGCCTTACCCGTTCCGCTAAGCATGAAATATACGCGAAGAGATATCTACCACGCCCGAGACCGAGGTCTCGCACGCCCAGAACCAGAGTCAAATCTTTACATGGCCATGTTCGGAGCACCGGCCATATCAATCGGTCTATTCTGGATGGGATGGACGGCGTATCCGCATATTTCGATGTGGTCCCTGATTATTTCTTCAGTGGTCTTTGGGTTTGGCGTTGTTTGTGTTTTTGTCTCGGCGTACCAGTACGTCGCGGCCGCCTATGAATATCACCCTGGAAGTGCCCTGGCGTCTCTTCAGATGTTTCGTCTTACCGCTGCCGGGGTGATGGCTGTTATTGCGGATCTCATGTATAATAAACTTGGCCCGCACTGGACTTTGACTGTTTTGGGGGGTATTGCGACTGTCTTTTTGCCTGTGCCGTATTTGCTTTATATTTGGGGCCGTAAGGTGCGGACGTGGAGTCGGTATGCTCCTACTGGGGAGACGTGAAGTTTTCTTTTTCTTTCTTCTTTTTCTCAGGGGGGTATATTTTTCGATGCTGTGTCGGGTCATAGTGAATAGATTCTTTCTGACTTCCAAGGTTGTCCATAGTAGTTAGTTATATGAAGATATTGTTGGTCAAAATGTGATCAAAAATTTAATTGACGTAGTGGGAAAAGTCACGATAATCTGACATAAGACGAGATAGCTTGATCGAAAAAGCGATTGGTTTAGAGCCTTCTTTAGTTGGTTGATAGGTAGCAACCAATGACAATGACTGGAATGCACACCGTTGGCTATGACCTCGACGTGCTGCCTTGTTCGAAGCTAGCGTGAGGGGAAGGATCGGCTCGGGGAACGCTGCAGAAATGCACTGCTTTTCTTCTTGGATCTCTTTAAAGAGATAATACCGCTATTTCAACCTTTGACTTCAGGTTGTCACAATCGCCTTTTCTTGGTGTTCACTATGGCTTACGTGTCTAGTATATCAACGATCCTGGCAGGGGTAGTTGCGTATTTCATCGCGCGTTACACTTACCGGCTTTTCTTCCACCCACTTTCTAAAATTCCAGGCCCTAAGCTCGCTGCTATCTCGTATCTACCCGAGTTCTGCCACGATGTTGTTAGAAAGGGTATGTATATGTGGGAGATTGAAAAGATGCATCAAAAATACGGTAGGTAAAGTGTCACCCTGTGTTGTACAAAAGGAGAGAGGGAAAGGTGGATAACGAACAATTCTAGGACCTATTATCAGAATCAATCCACGTGAAGTTCACATTAAGGATCCCGCATTCTACGAGGAGATATATGCCGGCGGAATGCGAATTCGTCAAAAAGACCCCGCATTCACTGTTGCTCTCCTGACGCCCGGTGCAATGGCATCGACAAATGACCATGAAAGACACCGACAACGACGCGGAGTTTTAAGTAACTTCTTCTCCAAGAAGTCCGTTACTGATCTCGAAAGCGTTATCCAGGACAAGGTCGACACGTTGAAGGAACGCTTTAACAGAGCGTTACACGAGGAAACGGTCTTGAGCCTCCCATCTGTGTTTGCAGCACTCACAGCAGACATGATTACGCATTATTGTCACGGCGAGTCTCGTGGGTATCTCATCGCACCTGATTTCAAGAATAATCACATGGAAGCATTGGATTCCCTGTTCACTCTTTTCCATATCAACCGGTTTATTCCCCCGCTTGCACATCTGCTGTCAAGGTTGCCATTGGAGTCAATGAAGAAATGGGGCATTCTTTCCGGTACAATCGGAGAATTGGTCGATACTAGACTTCAAACTCGACAGCGAGCAGCTGAGGCGTTACAAAGTACAGAAAAGAAGACGACAGGGCCAGTGACTTTATTTGACGCTTTGACGGCAGATAGTGTACCGGAAGAGGAGAGAACAGTGAATCGACTTGAAGACGAAGCATCTGTTTTATTCGGAGCTGGAACTGAGACAACAGCAAGAACCCTGTCAATCGCGGCATTCTACCTGGCAAAGAATCAGACTCTGCTTGAGAAGCTGCGTGGAGAATTGAAGATCGTTATGCCTTCGCCTGGTAGTAAACCGAGGTGGTCTCAACTGGAGAAATTGCCTCTTCTAGTAAGTAACGCTGTTCCCCCTTAGAAATGTGGAAAGGATATCCGTTGAACGTGACTTTGACAGGGGGGTGTCATTCAAGAAGCACTTCGACTGTCATACGGCCTGAGTGGCCGCTTAGCCCGGATCGCACCAACAGAAAATCTCGTATACAAAGACCATCTAATTCCAGCAGGGGTATGTAAAAAATATTTGGAATACATGATATAGACGAAGCTTATTCATTGCGACAGACCCCCGTTAGCCAAGCGATATACTTCGTCCACCATGATCCGACTATCTTCCCTGAACCCGAAAAATTTGACCCAGAAAGGTGGATCAGGGCATCAAATGATGGAACCAACCTAAAGAAGTACATGGTATCCTTTAATAAAGGAAGCCGACAATGCCTTGGAATGAAGTATGTTCCCATTATTTGGAAATATCACAGATCACTGCTGACTTTATACTAAAGCCTTGCGTATGCGGAGATGTATCTGACTTTGGCTATGTTTGCCCGAAACTTTGATGTTGATCTTGTCAATACGACGGAGGATAATATTCGATTAGGAAGAGACATGGCACTGCCGTATCCATACGAGGGTAGATTTTCTGTTAGAGCGAGGGTTACAGGGATAATTTCATATTAACAACCTCAGCCGTGGGCAATTTATGGCTACTTTGATTGAAGCTATTTCTAGTACGTGGAACAAAATATTAAGGGTCCATATGCGTACGTTTCGATAGATGCGAACCAATATATTGAGATAACTAATTATACGCCTACGCTATACATACTTCGACAAGCCCTCAAGCAAATCCAGTGCTAATGACCCAGCTGACATCAGCATTGAACGAAGTGGCAGAGTCAAACGTGTGAACACCGCCGTTGCTCGCAATATAAAGAACATTTTCATAATGACGGAACCAGCGTGTGGGATAGCTCCAAGAACGAAGGGAACTACCCGTGCCACTGAGGCCACTCTGTGGGCAGAAGGTCGCGTCTTCATTAAACAGCTTGGTACCATCACTGGCGTTAACCAAAAGCGCGAAGCCAGAGTGCCGAATGTAGCTTCCAGGAGTGTCAACAGACTCGAATGAGAAGCAAGCGCTATTTCCCAGGCCAGTCCGAACTGTCCAACTAGCCTGCTGCTTCAATGCGGTGGTGCTTGATGATGTGACAACCTGAGTGTTGACGGTGGAACCAGTGTGGGCAATGTAGCGTGTAGTATACCCAGTTGTAGTGGCTCTCAGGGAAATCGAGTTACCGACAGTGAGTGCTGTGCCACTGGTAAGAGAAGTAGTAGCATATTTCGCCGCCACAATGTTGGCCTGCACCGAGTTTTCAGTGGCGTCTGACGGATAGCCAGAAGTCATCACTCCTTCGTAGAAAGTTCCCTGGGCACTAACACTGTTGTCACCACCAATACCGAGGATAATGGCACCCTCCTTGCTCATAGGGTTGTAACCAGACGCAGTGGGACGTACGCCACTATAGTATGTCGACAGTGAGCCGGACGCAGCGTTACCACCACGCAGGGCCCATTTGTTTGCACCACCCTTCAAAGCTGTAGTAAAGAAACGGTATGAAATGGACGGGTCGGCAGAGTTCAGCGTGGAGCTGGAGCCGGAGAATAAGCCATTTTCGAGATCGGCCATAAACCAAGGTCCACTACCAGTACCATAGCCCCAGGCAGTATTGTCGCCAAAATAGATGGCCTCCATGTGGCCATTTCCTGTATCAGTGCTGGAGGTTTCAGCATTGCCGTAGTCGAAGCAGCAACCGTCATTGTAGTGAGTCCCATCAAGGACGGCGTACATGCCCTCCGCTGCGTCACCTGTAGCTGTGCCGGTAGCGACATTGTTGCGATAGCCAGTACCGGGAGAGACAAAGACACCATATGCCTTTTGACCATTCAAAGTAACAGGTGCACCAATGGCACCGGCCAAGTTATCATACCCGTCGGACTCTGGTCCCTGGAATCCACCGGGTGGCGCTTGGGTGAGGTGGTTTCCCTTGCCAGACTGGTCATAAATGATTGTGATAACGCATGTCGTATTGGCACAGAAGGTGTCTTGAGCTGCAGCATTTGCAACACCGCCGGCAGACAGAGGCGAAATGTCCTTTGTGGTGCTATCAGAACCACGTTGAACCTGGTAGAGTGCACTGCTGTAGGAGCTATACAAGGCGCGAGTAGTGCTGTGTGCGGCGATGCAGGGAGTACCTCCGGATGAGTAGATATCACAGGGACCCGCAGATACCAGGGAGGCAGTACCAACAAGCCCTAGCAATGCAAGGGCACTGGCGCGTTCAACGCTTGGTTTGGACAACATGCTGACTGCTCGATTGCCGCGAGAAAGTGAATAAAGGCTGCGAGTTTCAGAGCCGACAAGGAGATGCTCAAGTCGCTACTGGGGTAGAGGAATCTGACGCATATTTTGATCATTTTTCGTTTCCCTTTTATAGTTCTCTTCCACTCGCATAAGTCCGTTCTTTATGTGGAGAGAGAGGCACTTGTTGCGAAAGGGGTAAGGATTTCCCTCCAATAACTGAGAGTCACCACCATCTTCGCTCCATACAAGTAGCATAAGCGAGCTCAAGGTTTGAAAGGCCCGGTTAATATGTCGAAGATATCACATTTGAGATTTAAGCGAAGGCACTTGGGCTGTTTGGTACCATGCGGCTAGCTTCCAAGGTTCAGTATAAGGTTCAGGAACATCTTCAAGATCTCACGGATGGAAAGGTACTAAACTAGGATAGGTTAACTGGGTTCTGAGGTAAACTATCTTCAAGAAGGCTAAAATTTGGATTCATCAGTACAGAGGAAGAATACTGACAAGATGAGGCTTTACATTCAAAGCTGGCGATGCTTCGTAATTCCTTTGCCATTTGATTCAATATTCGAGGCCTAGTGGACGCCCCGGCATCTGGCAACGCACAATATGATCCCCCACACGGGACTGGCATGAGTTTAGTTGAGCCGATGGTAATCTGCAGACAATAAGCGGCGCCCACAACCAGCAGGCACACCACGCTAGTGAAAGGGGCGGGGTAATTTGTATACAAATTCGTTCTAGTTGCGGGGAAACAAGAATGCGCGTCTCTAAGAGACCATGTGATTCAATGCCGACGGAAAGCACTCTTCCGTTGCTTTAATATCGTGTATTATGAAGCATCACGAGGCCTTATTATTCCATCGCTTGAAAGAGATGATGCTCGCCAAATGGAGTTTTTCTCGGCCACTCCGGAGGCATCCTGCATGAGATGGGGTATTAAAGACATGTGAAACAGGACTAGGGGTTATTAACTCCATTCCTATGGCTCAGAAAGGCCGATCGTCTTGTGCCGCCGGGGTTTTGCCGAATGTACGCCCCCCCGTAAAAGCAATTAACCGAAATTGGTAACCAAGTTGAAGAAAGCAAGCTTTCCGACTATTGGGCCAGGACTAGGGCCATCGACAGCGTAGGATTGTGGCGTAATGACAGTTACTGCAGGAACTTAGCGCGCACGCCTACCATAGAATGAGAATAACGATGCGGAGGCGGGGCCCCGCGAGCGTTTTTATTCTTCATTAAAGAAAGTGGGAAGTTGGCAATAGATGAAATGAGTCCTGGGGCTTTGCCACTGGTAGAACCTCAATTGCGCCCATTCCCCCTGAAACCAGGATTATACTTGACCAATCCAGTCGCTATGCAAAAAAGAAAAAAAGAAATCAGAGGAAGTCTTTCAGCAAATCCGTCATGTCTCTAGCACCTCTGTCTTTCATGGCCCTTTTCCCATTCTTTTTTGACTCCGCTGGCAACGGCAATTGTCGCTTTCTGGTCGAATTGGGCACCCGGGTGAGGATTCCAATTGATTTTGCCGAGTACTGTGCACGAACCTCGATCTTCATCGTGTCGCTATGATCCATTGCCGGTAGGCCAAATTCCATAATCGGCACATCAGCCCCTAGGGTAGGAGGGCTGGGTGAATCTTCGGCACTACTGGTATTGGGTTGTGTCTTAAGTGTACCCGGTAAACATCCAACAACGGACCCAAATGCTGTAGAGCTTGCCCATCCTCGGTGGCATCCTTCAAAGCCCAATCAAGCCGGAGAGCATTCCATCCTTCCATCTCAATTTTGCCTGTGTATGGTCTCTTTTCGCAACGAAAGCCCTCAGTAAAATACTCGCATTGGTAGACAATGATGAGTTGCAGATTTGGAAGTTTTGATAAAAGATGCAGTGCCGCGGGCTTTATCATACCCTGGTGATAAAGACGTAAGACACGTAAATGCTGCAGTGATCCGGTTGACTCTGCCAAATCAACCCAGGTGCGAATGACGCCGTTCTCCAATTCGTTCGCGGCTCGAGGTGTGATATCTGGGGCGTATTTGTGTAGTTTCCATGGAGTCCTGGAAATTTCTAGAGCCACCAGATTTTTCATATTGCCGATTGCGAGGAGGTCTTCCGCCGTTGCATAACCGGATGAAAGAGAGAGAACCGCACGCCAATCACAATTTGCACTGCTCATGATATCGACATATCCCTTCAAGGGCTCCATTGGTCGATTGGTCCATAGACAGTAGTATGAGCTGACAGTGTGAAATTCGCGGGGATAACATGCGGCCAGGATCTTCCACATAAATAATGTTTGCTTCTTGCTGGAGCTGCAATTAGCTTTGGGTTTAAAGCAGATTTGTGGCTTGAGCAAGAGCTTACCAATGACCCAAGTACTCCCATAGCTCCAGCGCAATAGGCCAGGGATATTTTCAAACATTTCCAGTCTCAATTCCGACTGGTCTTCGAGTGCCTTTTGCCTGGCCGTGTGCTTCAGGGAAGGGGCTCCGGGCTCTTGACGGTCCTCCCAACAGTATGGCAAGAACGGGCTTTCATGGTACCAGTGGGGGCCTTTCTTGAAATTTGCCTGTGGCCCTGAGGAGTGCAGAATGACAGACATTGTCGACCGACTTGAAGCGGTTCCAGACATGTTGATGAAGTACGGTTGAGGGTGCTGGTTTAGGACACAGCTTATTGCAGGACACGGGAGATTCTTGGGTGAGTGACAGTAAAAACCTGAAGATGGATCATCTCCAAAATTGGGTCCATCTCCTGCCAGAAGACACAAATATGACTGAGTCAACCATGCCTAGTATGAAACCGTGGAAGACCGCGATTGCCGTAGGTGAACTTGTGATATGTTGACATCACGTGTTGCGCGTGCACGTGAGCTCATTTTGTTTGACAAACTTCAACATTTCTAACAGACTACTAGCAGATGCCTCTTATACCTTGCAGATTGTTGTTTCCAACATATATACATACTGTATTTCTTGCAGGGTGTCATCCAATGGTTCTCTCAAATGCTAGCCTTAAGGCAGCTCGATACATAAAGGTACAGATCTACACACTCTAATAAGCTGCCCACGAAAGTACCCAAAAAGTACCGCTGTGGGGCGGTGATGACTAAGTGTATGATGTCAGGTAACGCAAGCTTGTTGATTGGCCGAGGGCAACCAAAGCCAACTCCCCCGCGTCCATCATCCATCACCTGATACACACTTACCTCCCCAACTGCTCTCTGTCTCTGTGTGCTCGCTGCGTGGTCTCTCATTGCAATGTCCGACCAACCGATTCATAGAGAGGGCTCTGATTCTTCTCTCAACGCCCTCGCCAACCCCAATAATGGATCGGAGATCGCCTCACCCCGGTCCAGCACCGAATCCCGCTCCTCATCCCGCAATCACAACCAGCTCCGCGTGTCACATATGCCCCCCGCAAATCATCAACATCGCCAAAGCTTGAGCGAGACGCTCCGTGGTCCTCCCGGATCACCGCGCTCTCGGCGACAGCCTTCTTTGAACCAGTCTGCTATTCAGAGCTTGATCGATAACCCTCCCCCTCCAAAGAACGTCGACCCCGCATTTATTGGTCGGGATTGGCAGCAGATCTCCATTGGCGAGCTTGTTAGCCCAGAGGATCTGCGTTTCGTTGAGCTCGACACAGGAATTGAGGAAGCGACAAACGTGAGTCATTTTGGGCGATATGCTTCGTATGCGGCCAAATGGGAAAGCTAACGCAATTGCTTTCAGATCCTGATCGACTCTGGTACCCCGGTCTTGCTTATCCGCGAATCCCCAGACAAAACCTCCGCCGTTGCTACATTTGACTACTCGGACTTGAACACTTATCTGCTTTTGGCAGCGGGTCTGGCCCTTCCGCAGGAGCACAACCGGGCATCATACGATGAGCTTGCCAAGAAAGCACGCGAGGGCGAGAAAATCCCTCTCAAAGATGTCAAGGGATTGGGTATGGAGAAAGAGCCATTGATCACCCTACCCGCATCGGCGAATGTTCTTACCGCCGTGGAGACGTTCGGTGGTGGAATCCACCGTGTTGTGGTGGTCAAAGAGTCCAATGATCAAGAGGTCGTAGGCATCTTCAGTCAGTTCAGACTGGTCAAGTTCCTCTGGGAAAACGGACGCAGTTTCCCTGCAATTGAGCAGCTTTACCCGCAGGCGCTGGCTCAATTACGAATTGGCTCGCACAATGTGATATCTATCAAGTGAGTACACCAAAACAAGTCAAAGCAAGACTAACTAATCTTTGTCTTTTCTTTCAGCGGCGACAAACCCCTCAGTGAAGCTCTTCAGCTGATGAATTCCGAGGGTATATCATCTCTGGTTGTGGTAGACAATCATTCCAATGTGGTTGGCAATATATCTACTACGGATGTTAAGGTATGCAAATCAAGCGATTGAAAAAATGCAAAGACTAACAATCGTGATATAGCTGTTGACTCGGTCATCCTCTCTGCCTCTACTCCAAAATACATGCACACACTTTATCTCCGTGATTTTGTCTACCCGGGGGCTGATCGAAGGCCAAGACTCGTACCCAGTCTTTCATGTCAACCCAACATCTACATTGGCCCATACAGTTGCGAAGATTGTCGCGACAAAATCTCATCGGTAAATTCATCCATAAAGATATGCTGGTCTCGGACGCTAACTATGATAGTCTTTGGGTGACTGATCCATTGTCGCCAGCCTCCTCGGGACCCCCGACTCCTTCTCACTCGTCTGCTCACATTCCTCTGGCTGCTACATCTAGTACGGCTGTTAACAGTTCAAATATTGGAACATCCCCTCCAGCCTCTCCACTTCCCCCAGCCTCGACTTCCATCCCAGCACCTAGCCAGGCCACACCCCATCTACCAACACCGCCCCATCTCTATGGCAATACAGAGTCAACCCCTAGTGCGACGCCGCCGCTAGTTCCCTCTGTTCCAGCAGCTGCGCTACCAGGTGCCCGCCTTTCGGGGCGTCTCGTTGGTGTTGTGAGTTTGACGGACGTTTTGAACCTCCATGCTCGCGCCAGCGGCTTGAATCCGGCAGATCCAGCCGAGTTCCGGCGCCGACGACGCAGCAGTTCTTCAAGCATGAGCGTTCATCGCAGTGGCGAGGTTGGCCGTGAGATGTTTAGTCGTGGTATTTGAACAGGAAATTCATAGGCAGGCGGTATAGGGAGAAAGCGATGACATTCAAATTTTGTTGATATCTCAGGTGTTATGGATAAGCCATGGTGTGCTGTATTGCGCCGGTCTGAAATTCGATCAATTGTATCTCGCCGCATTTCTTTTTCACACGAACACATACATCTACTTTTCAATCCGTCTTGAAGGCAGCGATTGCTCGCTACTTGTCCCATATCCTTTCGAATTTTCGTCGATCTGACAAATTTTCACCTTTCGAGTTCAAACCCGGGGGACCTCCTTTGACCCTTGTCATTGTGGATAATAATTCCGCTTTTTCTCCTCGCTTTTCTACATGCCCATGCGTAGCGAGCACATGTGTACGTGTCATGCCAACAAATATTATCTGGTAAACGGCTTATCCATAACCAAAAGCAATGGCGAATATGAAATGATTAAGTCTACCACTCGGATAACCCGACTGAAAATGATATCAGCCCAGTAAATGCGCAGTAAACCAAGCCACCAATTAGCAATAGCGGACGCCCTATGCTCTCATCCATCGAAACGGCTACCATCGGACGGGTGGATGATCGGAAGAACAAAGTACAGATCGACTGGGCCCCGATATCCCTCGATAAGTGGCAGGAGTACTTATCCCTGAGAATAAGTCCTAAAATGAGGCGTGCGGCCCCATCGGCTTTTGGAGATCACAACTAGCGCGAACATAGCATGAACTGGCCCGTCTAGATCAGCCCTCATTATCTCCCCGGCTGACCGTGTCCTAATATGGCATATCTCATAACCAAATTGGCGAGTCGAGCTCTGCTTCGTTCTCCCCCTCTGCCCTGGAAGTTCGCCTTAAGGACTGTGCTCACAAAACCAGGTTCGTAAAACCAAAGCTCAACCAAGGGAATGAAGGGGACGCACGCGCTCGCGTTATCTCTACCAAATCACCTCTTCCACCGGAGTATTCAACCACCAGCATTGGAATCTAGAGCTATTGGCTCGTCAACATGCAATCCCATTCCCAGATCAGCGGTTGACTCCGACAACATGGTCGCCCCAATGGCTCGTGGTTGTCGATCATACCGGTCATCTGCCTTATCCTGCATCATCTCCCGACCAATAGTAATGGAAATGTGCCAGTGGTTTACATACATGGCAGCGTTTCCGCAGCGGGTCTACCGGCAATTCAGCCACTCAGCTTGTTCCTGCAGTACGGCGGCAGATGATGCTGAGTGGTTGAATTGCCGGGGTAAATCTTTTCCAGTTGTCTCCTGGTTGATGTCGCTTTTTCCTGATTTGGTCGGAGGAGAGGAGTGTGTCGCCGGATGCGGGGGTGTTCGCTTCGTCTTTTCGATTCTTTTTTTTGCAATTCTCTTTTCGTTTTTACGCCTTCCTAGACCCAGTGGATGAATTCTGTACATTATCTCGTTCGATCGGTATCTATCAGCTAATCAGATTTGATCTATCTATGTACGGGTATGTCTGGTATCTGCTGGCATTAAGTTCCGTGAAACCTGGAGAAGCGAATATGATTCCCTCTTTAGGCAAGCCTGACATAGGTGCCCTCGATCAGACGCCGCCGATCGAAATACCCTTATTCGCAAATCTTCGAACTATCATTCATGGTCCAAACGTCTTTTTTTACCCTCCCCGAAATCATATCGAAGAAAAATTTGATTTGATAAGAATTTGACTTCATTTCGTAACGGTGGCCAATCCATCGGAAGTTTCAGACGAAGCCAACTGCCTAGATAGGATAGTAAGGTTGAGGGCCTGAGGGGAAGAAGAGAACCCAGGTAAGGCACCAAAAACGCCACCACCAAATTGTCGGACCAGACCTCATAACCTTGGGGGAAAGGACCCCGGACCCAAATAATCCACTGACAAATCCCAAGCGAACCAAGTCCAGCCCGGCCTGTCTCGTTGTCTGCCCCGAGTGGATCGGGCCATTGGATGTCGTTGCCCCTGGTCCGAGATTCGATGATTGGCTGATCGCTCTCGCTGCAGGGGATCTCATATGGAAATTAGCTTTCTAGAGTCTTGACTGGCCTTGAAGAAAATATCTCAAGAATTGAAAGGAGGTGCCGTATTGGTGACTAATTTTACGCACGGTTGAGCCTCTTCCAAGGTTGAGCTATAGCCTAGAGTACTACTAGCATGCTTGTATACCTAGTCGTTATACCTAGTATGGCAGTTATACGAGATGCACTGGGGCAGATACGAAAAGAAACAACGCCATTTTGACAATCGATTTGTCAAGTATATGCAGACTCAGGCGTACATAGTTCCAGAAGGATCGCAACACGGGACCAGATGAGGAAAAACAAGCGAAATCAAAGATGCGGATAGCTGCATATGCGTGGTGGCTTTTCAACGGCCACGATTGGAGAAGTCGAGGCCAAAGCGCTTATCACGCCATGCCATCCCCTTACTAATTCATTTATCAGCAGCATCCCTGCAGTATAGTATCACGCTACCTATGATCCATTAGGATGTGCCACGAGATAGACATCAAGAGAGGCCATGGGATGGCCTGGATTTGGACCTGGCCGAGGCACCCCAGATCAAATAATCAGAATATCGACATTATTTAAGACGGCATGAACCATACTCGTAGACCCAGAGCTGAATGGGCCGATCGGCAATAAACGTACTATAGGTCATCAGGGATCAATCAGGCCACCCCCACCACAATGGGAGCCTCGAGCTCGAGCTGAGCCCAGGATAAGAGGCGAGGGGCCAAACCAATGATCTGCAAGGATACGTGCACGGGGTTCCGATCGCATCAATTCCACTTAACGGGTGAGTGGGGGTTGCTGCATCATTTGGACCAGTGCCGGGGCAGTGTCAGGTAATGCCAACCTTAAGGAACCATGGTGGATGAGCGGCGCGTCGTATCTCGGGGCTCCACCAGAGCCAGACCCAGCACAGTTTTAAAGTTGTGATTGCTCTGCAGCAAGTCTCGATGCGGAGTGGTCCGTGCGGGAGCTGCAACCTTAACCCCGCAATTTGTAGCTGTGCTTTTGTAGAGAAAGATGGTAGATGGTGGATGGGTGAAGGGTCTGGACTTGATATTCTCCATATAACCATAGACTGAATACCTGCTATAGGCAGGATATGACAGCAGAGAGCAACCGCCACAAAATAGCATCAGTGGGTAGTTTCCAAGGATTGTGATTAATAGTTCATGGTTGGTAGTTGTACAACTGAGGTAAACCCGTAAGCAAGCAGCACAACAATTCCTGTCCTCCCTCCAATCCCTGCCGATCAATCGCGCCTCGACCCAGCAACCCGGTTCCAAAACGCCTCTTCCAGCCTCATCTCCAATTAGCAATGCAAGGTACTCAGCTACCCGCCCGCATATGCATATGGAATCAGCCAGCTGACACCCACAAACAGAGAATGGCGCCGGGCAACAAAACTCAGCCTCACCAGAAATTGGGGTTTATACCTCCGAAGGATGAGCTAGTTACTAACTAGTTCCCTACGAGTAGGCAGTGTGAGTCCCGTGTTCTGCACAGTTACGAAACATGGTCCAAGCGTCCCCCTTTTAACTGTCCGTAGTTGTGTATCTCCTTCTCTCAAGGAAATCATTCCCCGAGCAGCCAAGCCAGCCTAGTCCAGTCGTGCTCTAGTATTATTTCTTAAATTGCCCTCATATTTGCATCCCCCCCCCGGTACGAACTCACGGACTCCGAAAATAAAAAAGAACAGCAAAAAAGAACGGGGAAGACAAGCCGAAACCCTCAATTGGAAAAGGGAAAGTAGGCATCCCCCTGCCCCCCTTTAATGAGTGATCCTCTCGCTCTCGCTCTACTCGTAACTATGTACGAGTATCCTGCACCTATTAGCGCAAATTATCGGTGCTGAAGACCACTGAACTCCGAAACTCAACTCAAGTTTGACAAAGCCCCGAACGAATGCGAGACCGCGATTTCGATTACTTCGCTTTCGCAAAAGGGTTCTACCGTACGAATATTGAAGAGGCCTTCAGCCCATCCACCCCATGAAATCATTTATCATTTTCTTTCCAAGGTTCCTAGCACGAGCTGAATCGGGCTAAAGCACGCGTGCAAGGCCAAGGCTAAGGCTAGCCACGCCCTGTTTCCATTCATTCCTCGCACTCCCCCCCTCCTTTCTGCTGTCTACGCCCCGAATTCGCCGTTAGTTAATCTTCCGACCCAATCAGTTCGCTAGACCTGCCCCCCCAAGCGTGAGGGGTGAAATGCACTGTGATGTCAGGCGGGGGTGGGGAAAATTTCGTGTGGAATTAATTTTAATCTAAACTTTTGTCGATCAAACGACTTTGGATTGGATCCGGTCGGTCGGGGTATAGTTACGGCCAACACTGATAGTGCCCCGTGTGTGCGTGTGGGTTGTCCACTACCCACTAGTTAGTTGCCCACTACCTACGGAGTACTGCCCGGTTCTTTGTATCAGGGATAGGAATTAATCTGCAGTGTCCGAGTACGAGTATTCGTACGAGTACAGTAGTTAAGCGAAGCGAAGCGAAGGGCAAGGGTAAAGGTGGGGATGATGCATGGATGGAATGGAGGTGGAGAAAGGCTCCGTCTGCTCCGCTCGCATCCTCGCCAACAATTTACAATCCACTATATTCAGGTTTGTGATGTGATGTGATGGGTGTTACTTGGGTCTAGCCAGTCATATTCGATGCGGGCGAAAGCTCCAAAGTTTGACGTATGTAGAGGTGAGCGAAATTGGGTACAGCGAAACGGAGGACGAGGACGAGAGAGGGAGCTTCTACCGTAGCTGCCAATGTCTGTATAGCTGGCACGGCCACGGCCACGGCCCGTTGAAAGGTGCGGGGCAGTAGAGCTGGGTTGAGTTCAATGGGAATCATCAGGTGGAGTTGCGTGGATCCCTCGCTTCAAGGAAATCAGAGGATTACAGGACTGGGATGGGCATAGTATGCTGGTTGTTTGAAGGTTGAGACGCCGGAAAGGGGGGTGTTGTGGAGGCGTTGATTGTTTTCGGCGGAGGAATGCAACGATCGCTTTTTTTTCTTTTTTTTTCTATTTCCTTTTTTTTCCACGGGCTCCACTATAGGTACTTACTTACTACGGATCTATGGTTCTTCGCTTGTGGTCTGGATACTATGGTAGGGTTCGCCTGCAATGGTAGGGACCAAGGATTGTGAGGGAAAAAAGGGTTTTGTTTGTAAAAAGAGGGTGCGAGGGGGGAATACTCGGAGAGAGAAGATATTTTTCACAATGTAATGAATTGAAATGATTCGTTTCTTCGTGACAGTGGAAATAGCAAACGTGGATCCCCTGTGCAATCAATCTACCTGGAACGACAGGGAACCAGGCAAGAAACTCAGTCTGTACAGTGGGACACTAATTCCAAATTTCAAAACCAAAACCAACCCCGATCCAATCAACCAGAAAACGCCATGGGCCACACAGCACCAAGAAGACATTGTGACAGGAAAAATAAAACTGAATAGAAGAATAGAAAAGCTATAATACAAGAGCAGTGTACAAGCCAACGCCAGTCATGTACAGGGGGGTGTCGGCGAAGGATAACAGGCCCTGGGAATCAAGAAAGGACAAGAGAAGATAAAGGCAAGACAGAAGAAGAAGGTAGAAGGTAGAAGCAGAAGTGTGTGGCATAGGATCAGCAAGTCACCGTACCAAACTCGTCCAGGGCAACGAACTCGTCGAACCCAAAGGGCTCCCGGTCCGATGGAGACGAGGTGCCTAGTCCCAAAGCGAACTGGCTGAACTCATTATAGTCCGGATCTAACTCCTCGTGGGAAAAGACCGTCTCTCCATCCTTAGTAGTGGGCATGGTAGCAGGCATCACGCCAATGGTAGTAGGCGAGAGGGGGGTATTTGGAGTTGGGCAGAAATCCGGGGTGGACTGAGACTCGGCGGAAAGGGCCTCGATCTTCGGCGAGCTGGTATTAGATGGACCCATATGGGCGAGGTGGGTGCCTTGAGTGAGAAGTTGCAGGTTGTGGAAGTTATTCGTGGGATGGGACGAGCCGCGAGAGTGGCCCAATCCGCTGGGACCAGAAATGGAGGCGGCAGGGGCTTGCTGTGCAGCAGCCGGGTGCACTGGGAGTTCTGGGGCAGAAGCAAGACGATCTCTGAACTGGCGCATTTGGTTTGCCGGATTGGAGGGCATCTGC